AATTTCCCTTGAAGCCATGAAAGCCTTCTAAAACTGGTAAGATGCAGAGCTGCAAAATGCAATGTTGTAGGCTGCTACATTGTAGTGGTTCTGTATTGTTACAAGAATCCATCTCTAGCATGGTAATGTCCATAGAGTAAAGGGACTCACCATTCACCAATTATAACAAGATTTTGGTCTGTCATTTCAAGTAAACGAAAATGAGAATAGTTAAAACACCAGAACTTCTGCGTGTAGCGAGAACTATGTAAAGTCTCTGCATGTTTGGGAGGCCTTATGCTTTGATAAGGCTGTTATTGTCCAAGATACTTTGGAGACTGCCCTCCAAAGTGTACGGATAGTGGGTTCACAGTTGTTGAACGTGGCTTCAGACTACTGGCAAAGGCAGACGAGCTAAAAATTGTTCTATGAAATTGGTTTTGATGTGCAATGTTGACTGGTCCCTGGCCTGCTTCCGGACCTCCAGGCCCCAGTAATTTATACTGGCTTTCCTCTAGCCCTGGCAGACCTGACTTCAGCAGGGGCTTGGATGTTACAATCATCCAGCTCAACGAGAAGGCCTAGCACAGCATTTCTCGGAAGATATACTGTGGTCCTTAGTTTGGGAGCTTTTACTTAAAAAATCTTCAGAAACACAGATTTTATATCCTGCACTTGATGATTCAAAACACATGGGGAAAGGTGAAAGTTTTGACAAATCCTGTAGAAGCCATTTTAAGATGCTTTGCAAAACCAATTTGCCCATGAAACTTACCTTTTTCCCATTTAGCCTTAGGTGTGGAAATTCCAGAGACATCTGCTGCTTAGGGACAAAGAGCTAGGTTGACGGGTGAACACCCTCCACATCTCATAGTGAGGCTGAGCCCTGCTATTGCTTAGGTCTTCTGGTTTCCATGAGAATCCTTGGGTGGCATTAAAACAGCCCCCTTCACTTGAGATCCCTTGAGCTGGTCTGTTAATTTCCCTGATCATCACAGGGGTAACGTCCTTACCTATGGTATGTGTGAGCAGTTTCCTCAGTCTTTGAAGTTTTTGTTTGATTTTATTTTCACAGTGGTTCTGCTCTCAAGCTGACTATATTTTCTACTTAAAAGGTTTCCATTTTTTCTAGTTTAAAACCTTATTCTTCACTGATTACTACAAACGTATTCAAAGCAAACAGCTAATGCTATTTTGGAACCTACTGTTATGTTGCCTCTCAAAAACCATCCCTTTCTATATACTAATAGCTCTCTGCAGATCCTGATGTAGCTCTAGTCTATGTAACTGAACAAGAGCCTGTTAAAGGTAACTTGATCGGGCTGTTAGTGTTCCCCAAGTTTGCCAAACATTTTCTAGTATTTTTGATAAAATTCAGGCTATAAGGAAATGTGGACCGTACCACTAATTCACATTTTAGACATCTCAAAATTCCTAGTCATATAACGATGGTATAGTTTTAAAAAATGTTATTGGGATAATCAGTCATTTCTATGTAAACCCTATAGTATACTGGGGACATGCTATTAGATTGAGTCATTTATATTCCCTATATATATTTTTAAAAGATTTCATTTATTTATTTGACAGAGATCACAAGTAAGCAGAGAGGCAGGCAGAGAGAGAGGGGGAAGCAGGCTCCCTGCTGAGCAGAGAACCCCATGCAGGCTTCAATCCCAGGACCCTGAGATCATGACCTGAGCTGAAGGCAGTGGCTTAACCCACTGAGCCACCCAGGCGCCCCCCTATATGAGTATTTTTAACTTACAGAAAAGGTGAGTGCATATTTTAACACACAGAGAATTGCGAGGAGGAGAAAAAATTTGGTCAAAAATCAGCATCTGAGACTCCGGGTGTTTGCCTTCAATTCGTTGAAGCGAATGAAGCTTGTATCTGAATCCTCTATCTGGGATTTTTGCTAATCTCTGCTTCTCTCCTGATGGGAAGACACATAGACTTGTATTGATTGTGGCTGTTATAAAAAATTATCATAAACTGGATAATTTCGAACAATAGAAATTCTCTCACAGTTGTGGAATCCAGAAGTTCAAAATCAAGGTGCTGGCAAGGCCATGTTCCTCCAGAAGCCCTAGGGAAGAATCCTTCCTGCTCCGTGGCTTCTAGAGGCGGGTGCTGACATCCTTTGGCTGGTGGCTAGACTGCTTTAGTCTCTCCTGTCTTCACATTGCCTGTGTGTGTGTGTGTGTGTGTGTGTGTGTGTGTGTGTATCTAATTTCTCTCTGCTACCCTATAAGGACAGTTGTGATTGCATTTAGGGCCTACCCAGGTAGTGCAAAATAATCTCAAAAACCCTTAACTCAGTCTCATCAGCAAAGACTTGTTTTCCTATCAATTAACATTCACATGGTCTAGGGATTAACATGTACTATTTTTTCAGCCAACCACGGGCCTCATTGCTCATTTTCTTTCTTTTTTTTTTTTTAAATTTCACTTCTAGGGCTTTTTTTTTTTTTTTAAGATTTTATTTATTTATTTGACAGACAGAGATCACAAGTAGGCAGAGAGGCAGGCAGAGAGAGAGAGGAGGAAGCAGGCTCCCCGAGGAGCAGGGAGCCCGATGTAGGGCTCGATCCCAGGACCCGGGGATCATGACCTGAGCTGAAGGCAGAGGCTTTAACCCACTGAGCCACCCAGGTGCCCCATTCATTGCTCATTTTCAAGGGTCAAGAAGGTGTCACCTCATCTCTGTGGGCCCTTAAGACCTCAGAAGTTTGTGCCATTTAACATGTATTTTAAGTCAGGGGCACCTGGGTGGCTCAGTGGGTTAAGCCTCTGCCTTCAGCTCAGGTTGTGATCTCAGGGTCCTGGGGTCGAGACCTGCATCAGGCTCTCTGCTCAGCGGGGAGCCTGCTTCCCCCTCTCTCTGCCTACTTGTGATCGCTCTCTGTTAAATAAATAAATAAAATCTTTAAAAAAAAATAATGTATTTTAAGTCAGCCACCACCCCTCCCCACACTCTTCAAATCTGATGAAAATATGTCCAGCTACTTTCATATGCCGTAACAAGTATAATCAGTAAAGAGGGACAAGAAAAATAAGGAATAACATTTTATAAGAGTCACTAGTAAAATGAATCCTTGTATCTGAATTATTTTTCAACCCCAGGCCATGTGCTTATTTCATGACTAAAATGATCTATTTTGAAAGGATTTGGAAAAGTCCTGGCCTTCAAACAGCTCTAGGAATGAGTCCTGCTTACCAAAACCCCTTCCCCCTCCAGTTTATTCTGAAGGAAGAAACAGCAATTCAAACCCAGAACCAAGAAACCTTCACTTTAATCTCCTTAGTTCAAAATCAAAGGAAAGCAGAAACAGGGAGAGCACCCGCTTCTAGAAGAGCCCAACATGCATAACTGACCCTCTGAGAAGGAGGGGTTTCCTGTGTGGCCTCAGACAGGCATGGTGGAAGTGATCTTAGGTTAGGGGTGGGCATGTTTGGTTTCAGGTTCCAATTCCACTTGAAACTGAGAATTTTTAACAACTTCTCTTTCCTGGGTCTCAGCTGACATAAAAAACAACTCCCAAGCAAAGTACTCAATAATATCAACATCACTCCTGCAGCAATATCCTTCCATATGTTTTTCTGGTCCATACATCTGGCATTCCTTCAGGGCTGGAGAGGCTTTATAACTGAATAGGCAAATAAGAAAATTTCCATTCCCACCCACTCCCATTTGCTTCCTCTGTTGAATGCAATCTCTAATTGAAATGGATTTTTTGTGGGGGGTGGGGGGGCTGGGGGGGAGCAACCACAGTCCAGCAGAGACTCTTAATATAAGTTTAATTCTGAGGCTCCTGTCAGTAACCACTACTAAGAGCAAAACCTTTTTCTAAGTAAATAGCACTAAATGGGAAACCCTCTCCAGTTCTCAGAACTCGATGTGTCTTTGCATATCTCCTTCTAGAAAAGAAAAGGTTCCTCTTCTAGTGAACTATAGCTGCTTTAGTAGTCCTGAAACCGGGGTGGGTCCAGCTTCTCTAAAATGGGTGAAGAAATGTTATATCAAGCCACACGACAGGGCCCGGAGGGGGAAATGAGTTTGTGCAATACAACAAATTTAAATTCTGCTTTCGCTGCTAAAATAAAAGCAAGAAGAGGAAGAGGTAAAGAAAAAACGAAGGCAAGCAGAAACAGTTTCTCCAGGATTTCAATTCCTTGTGGCCCTCTTGGCTTTGACTTCATTCTCGTATTTAGGTCTATGAAGTGGAAAGAGAATGAGAAGGCCGTGGGACACACGAGTATTAGCCTCGTAGCATGACTGGTTGAAAAATGAGGAGATGAGAGGCTCAGACGCCTTTAGGCTAAATTCCACGCTGACGAAAGCTATTCGCCATGCAGGGCCCGCCACAGCCGCCTCCGTACAGCCATGTTTCAGCTCGGCCTTGAGGTCCGGTTTGTGACTTCCGATCCTCCACCGTATGTACAGCTGAGCACTCCTTCCTGTAGCGTTCCTGAGAGCTCTGGAACACCCCAGAAGAAAAGGCAGCCGAGGGAGCTGCTCCAAAGCGGGCCTTCGTTTTTCTCGTGCTACCTACCCAGATGCTCGGAACAGGACCCGGTGCTGTTTGCGGGGAGACACCATGGACAGCTCTTCGGGCGCCGCCCCGTAGACCGGGCGTGCTCACTGCTGTCCCGAGCCTTACCCCCGCGCCCTCAGGTCGCTGGGGGCGGCAGGGGGTGACCCTGACACCCATCTCGGGCACATATCAGTACCCGGTCCCCAAAGCTTTTCCCCAGAGCCCCTCCCTGGCGCCCACGGGGAGGGCTGGTAAGCTCTGAAAAGCCCACGCGCGGGGGCCAGGGAGGCCGATCTCCTCGTCCCCGGCTCCCCAGAGGTCCGACCGTAGCTGCGACCTGGCCGACCCGCCGCCTGAGGCGAAGGTTGCTGCGCTGAGAGGCCGGCAAACAGCCTACCGTTTCGGACCCGCAGGGAGGCTCGGAGTGGGCGGGGCCTGCCTCCTGGCGCCCCGCCTTTTCCCCCGAGGGGCGGTCCTTCCGCCCCCGGCCGCGGCGCAATGCGGAAGAGATGGGCCCTCTGGAGCGGAAGTGACGTTTCCGGCGGCTGTGGCGGTGGCGGCTGCGGGAGAAGGAGGAGGAGGAGCCCGAGGAAGAGGTGAGCAAGCCGGCGGGGGGCGGGGAGCGGCCGCGGCCAGACCCACCGGCAGCCCGGCGCGCGGGCGGACGCTTCCTGAGCAGCCTCCCCGCCGCAGCCTAGGCGGGAACGGTGAGGGGTGACCGAGGGCAGCCCTGGCTGGGGAGGGCGGGCGGGGTTGTGAGGAGACTACGGGTCGTGCGGGGCGCTGCGTCGGGCGGGGGGCTGTGGTGACAGCGGCTGTCAAGGCTGTCCGCGGGAGAGGAACCAAGTCGGTCTGGGCGCCGGGTCATCGCCTCTGGCGCATAATGGAGGGATTGGGCGGCCGGGCTGCTTCGTCCCCCTGGGAAGAAGCCGCTTTCCCGGGGGTCGGCTGTCCGGGACCCCCGAGGAGCCCCGGTCGGGTCCGTGTCGTGAGTCTTCCCGGGTGGCCATTCATATTTACGGGCTCCCGCCTGCCGTCCCCGCAGCCGGCGGTGGCCTGCGGCTGGGCGGGAGGCAGCGTTAACCTGTGCCGCTTCCCTTGCCCTTCTCTCTCGCCCCCGGGAGAGCCGTTCGTGTCGGGTAATCCTTTCCCTCCTGCCCCTTAAGGAGCTTTGAAGCAGCCTCGTCCACCTTCCCTCCCACCTCCTCTCCTTCCCCGGCCAGGGAACGGCTTGAAGTTTCCGAATCTGTTCCCTTTCCGCGTAGTGACAAATCCAGAAGCAGGAAGCTGATAAACAAGTCCGAACGAAATACGCTCAAAAATCTTTCGTTTTTCGTAAACATGAAGTAAACGGGAAACTCATCTTAGCCAAACCGTTGGTGGACTTAAGAGTGATTAAACCTTAGGTTCCCTTGGGGTGAGAATTGGTAGCTTTTCCTCTGGCTTTTGGTAAAATTAAGTGACGGCTTATCTTTTGGAATAAACCATTCTGTCCCTGAGCTCTCCCTTTTTTTTTTTCCACCCCACCCCCCACCCAAACCTGGCAGGGAGGGACTTCTGGATGCCTTGCAGTCCTTGCTGCAGAAGGAAACGTTAGCTTCATTTGCTTTGCTTGGTTTTCGCAGGGCTCCTCTGAAGAAAGGAGAATGGCGTTCAGCAAAGGATTTCGGATCTATCACAAATTGGATCCCCCACCTTTCAGTCTCATAGTGGAAACTAGGCATAAGGAGGAATGTCTCATGTTCGAGTCTGGGGCTGTAGCTGTGCTTTGTAAGTCATCTGTCCTAGCCCAACTGATTGGGTCTCTGTGTTGATTTGAAACAATCCGATTCAACCATTCTCTAGAGAAGACCCCGACAACCCCTTCACTGTATTTCCTGAAGCAGATGATGTTTTTATTTTCTTTTCATCAAACCTTATTTTAAACTTCCATTTTCTTTTCTGTCCCCTGCTGCAGGTTTCTTTTGGGGGTTCAGGGGAAATGCGCGTTGGGTTACAGGTTTTTGCTTTCTTGGGTTCTTTGGCTCTTTCTAAAAGAAGATCTTGCTTTCCAAAGAATTACTGTTAACAGTTTATATCATGTCACATAAACCCATAAAGGCTTGCTTGACATTTTTACTGTAATGAACGGGATTTCTTATATATCAGTTACAGTAATGAACTATAAGAGTACTTATTTATCTGATATTTTTGGGAGTATCTTATGGTGAGGCCCTTCCATTTTTATTAAGAGAATTGTAAACTTCTAAAATTTCTTGAGATAATATGATTGATCTCACATCATTTAAAAAATTATCCTTGATAATCTGAAGAAAAGGTCTGCTGCACCGCAAGCAAAATAGTGGATTAGAATGGTTTAGGATATTTTTCTGGACAGATGGATGAAGTTAAATATATTAATTTGAATATTAATTTTCTTTCTTGATTTAAGATTTTGGCAGATAACTCCAGCTTGGAGTTATTTGAAATGTGATTGTGTTTTTAAGGGCTTTTTAGTAATAGCTACTTGTTTTTTGCCATGTTTTTGCCTTGTTAGCATTAGTTTAGCTACTGGTCATATTTTATAAATTAAAAATAGCATTTGAAAGTCATACTTACAGGTGTGCCTGGGTGGCGCAGTCGGTTAAGCAAAGCATTCAGCTCTTGATGTTGGCTCAGGTCATGGTCTCAGGGTGGTCCAGACTGAGCCCTGCGTTGGACTCTGTGCTCAGCAGGGAGTCTGCTCAAGATTCTGTCTCCCTCTCCCACTCCTGCTTGTGTGTGGGCTCTCTCTCTCTCTCTCTCAAATAAATAAGCCTCTTAAAAAAAAAAGTCATACTTACAAATATAAGGCTCTAGATATTTTAAACTGTTAAACTTTCTTCAGATTCAGTAAGTGAAGAGTACATAAGACCCTAACTTTTGCATACAGAATATTAACCTATTAAAATGTTAACCTGATCTTAATATTCTAAAAATAATAAAATTTTATCCTGACTAGGAAAAAAGGGTAGTGACATAATGGAAAAGCTTAAGCAGAGTGTAATGTATAAGAAATGTATATGGTTTTGGTACATATAGTAACATGGTTTGAGTGAGCAGGAAGAGCTATTTGTGTTCTAAGAAACAAGTATTAATAAGATGGGTTATACTTAGTATGGACTTAATTCAAACTGTTTTTTGTATTTAAATAAACTGAAATATAATCTTGCTATAATATTAGTTTGCATAGTCTATTTTTTCATGCTACAAATATAATTCTTATACTGATGAATTCTTAATTAAAAATATCTGGGGGACAATGGTTTGGTTTAGTTGTGAAATATTTTTTAGCTGCTTGTGGGTTTTTTTGGTGATATTACCTGATTTTCTAATTTGTCTAGATTTTAAATGTTTCTTCAGCTGTGGTTACTGGTAATAATAGAGAGTCACATGTTTACACAGTATGCATTACCCATAGTTATTAGGATTATTGTTATATTTTACTCTTAGGAAACCTAAGGATAATCATACTTCCAAATGTCCAGCAGCTCTCTTTTATGCCAAATAATGGTTAAGAAGGCAAACTCCCTAAACCGTCCATTTTGGCATTATCATTTATTTTAAGGAAAAAATACTAAAAATACTGTCTTAACATTTACTGATTATATTTATTTTCATTAGGTTTAGACTGCATAAGCAGTTCTGTCAAGAGAAAAAGTTAAATATTGCCTTTTTCGGTAAAAGCACAAATGGATATATAATTTTGTGGGTATGTTGTTAGCTTTCCTATAATAAACTTTATGGTAATAACTTAAAATATGAATATTAAGAGCTAGCAAACCTTTTTATAAATCGTTTGACTTATAAAATTAATTTGACATTCATTTGGGAGCAGTATCAAGGTGCATATTGTGCTGTAGAGTTCATTTTTAAAAATCTCACATTTCTTAAATGCCTGTTGTATTCAGGGAGCAGTGTTTGGAAGGTACTGAGGTGTTCTTTTTCTATTCAATAATCCCAGCCCTTTTAATCTCAATACATTATGCTTATTAATCAGCAAGAAGAATCTTCTCAAATCATGTACGACATTAAACCAAAGTAGAACCCCATTTTTCAGTAAGGTTAAGTTTAAAATCCTCAACCTGCCCATGTAGGTCTTCCATAACGTGGCCCTACCCTGTTTGTCCAGCGTGGATGTTGGTCTCCTTTAAGGAGATTCTTGTGTCTCCTTAGTGCTTTCCCAGGGTACCGGGTTTTTTTTCCTCTCTTCATCATGCTGTTCCTGTTAACACTCTCTTCCTTCGTGACTGCTAGAATGCTTTTCTCTATCTTTCCAATCCAAGCCTGTATTCTCTCTCAAGTCTTCTTCCTGAGGACCTGCCCCACCGCCCACTCCAATCTCACTCTTATTTCTTCCTTTTCTTCATTTGTCTAGAACTCAGTCCATATCCCAGGATAAATCCTTTTTAAGTGCTGGCTTTTGGTTTTCTACATGGTTATGTGCAGGTGTTCTTTTTGGAAGTAGATGGTAAAGGTGACCCTTGCAGGACTCAGTCATGCACCAAAAAGTTATGATTTCTACAGACCCCACTTGTTCTGGCTTTAAAGTTGACAAAATCAGACATCTTAGGTAGTACATATCATTGGGGACTGACAGTCACTTATTTTTCTTGGTTTATGCCAGAAGTGCAAGAGATACCCAACATAAAACCTTCTATTTTGTATGACTAGCACATATCAAAAAATAAGGTGCAAGTCAAAACACAGTAAAAAGAATTTCAGATCATGGATCTTTGTAGAGCCAGAGCATCTACTAATCTCTTCTACAAATCTAGCCTTAGGAATCTGTCTGTATGTTGCCAGGCTTCTAAACTTAAATCAGTCATGATACAGTGACTTAATCAATTAGTGAGCCAGTGGTTTTCAGCCTTGGATGCGCATCATAATCACTGGGTGGGGGGTTATAAATGCGGCTGCCTGGGCTCCAGCTCCCTAGAGATTCTGATGTAATTATGTTGGGATGATCATTCTGAGCATAATTTATATAGGCCTTTCTAGGATAGATTATGGGATAACATTCTTAGCTTACAAATTTTATCCAAAGTAACCGTGTTCCATGAATTTTAATGCTATTATTGACTGTTATTGGGCTAATGACTAGTTTTCTTGAAACCTCAGCCTGAACCAAGTGCTAATGGTCCCATAGCACTTTTGATACAGTGCTTTCAGGTTCTGTGAAACTTCTGTGTCTGGGTGCTTCTGTGTCTGGGCGCTGTACTCTTTGAGCTCTTTGAGGAAAAGACCCATGTTGTAGTAATCTCTGTACGTCTAGTGCTTAGTACAGTGTTTTGCTCACTGAGGGAATAAATGGCTAAATTAGTGCCCTGGGTGGGCGGGGGGAGTAGTTGGGGAGGAAGATTAACCTAAACTAGCTTACAAAGTTTACAAAAATACAGTATTCTATGTTCAAAATTCCAGTTCTTTTTAATAAAACTTATTTTTTTAATCTTTTAAAGAATTGCTATTTGACTGAACTGCTGCTATAAAAGGCATTAAAAATGATCAGTCCAGAAAACTGTTTAATTAAACTGAAATTTGATGTCTGTGGACATGTAGATGTGCAGTGTAGCAAGTGTGTTCTCTGTGTAAACTAGTCTACTGTGTCTGGACCAGTGTAAGCAGCAAGTGTGATGGTCAGCAAGTTGTAACACTACAGGTTGTTTTTCATTGGAAACAAATAGGAGATTTAAAAAGACATCTACCAGTTTTGTGTCAGGTTCAGTTTTCATCCTCTTTCTATAGTTACACACACAAAAAGACGACAACAGGAAGGGCAAATAGCCAGTCTGACCAAACATGCATTAAGCTCACGAGCTGGCCCATTATTTTTCAACCCATCTCATGCTTCAGCAGAAGTAAATAATTTACTTCATAATTGTATCCTGAGTAGAAAATGAAGGGAAGAGAAGGTCAATATGGGAAATGAAGGATGATTCTAGAAACAGAAATTATGGATCACCCGTCTTAAAGATGAGATGGAAGATGCTGATATAAATTCCTAACTCTTAATATTAGAGCTTTTCAATATATGCTACTATGGAAGTAAGAATTAATTGCTTCTGTCTAGTGGAAAGATTATTTTCAAGCTTTCCAACTCAGCCAGGACCCAAATCATGTACTTCCTAGACGGCAAGGCCGTATCACTATACTCTGGACCTAGTTTTACCCCACGTTGTTCATCTGAGTTTCTTCATTCACCTAATTTTTTCTTTATGGAAATATGAGCCATAAAACTGTAGGACAACATTCTGGAGATCTTTGTTACAGAATGTGGATTACACTGACTTTTCTATGAAACTGCACACTGTAAGGAAGTAATAATAGTGAAATAATCGTTGCCATTTCCTGAAAGCTTCCTCTGCCAGTCACAACATTAAGCCAGAAGTTCCTAACCTTATTGTTTCATGGTGTCTCATTAAGTTTTTCACAGCACCCCCAGGCCACAGTTCCGCTTGTTAAATAATTAGGTCCAAACTTAAATACGTCTGCCTTAACAACTCTAGTAGCTATTTAAAAAAATAAATAATGCAAGTAAATGGAAAATAACTTATTTCCTTCATAAATAACCAGTTACTTACTAATGGGATATGTATGTACCCGTTGAGCATTGAACAGCTTTTTAAGCCTTAGAATCAGACTGGACAGCTCCGCCCTCATTTCCTGTTCCACATTGATTTTAGAGTGGTATTTGCTTTTTATCACAGCAACTACTGAAAACCCAGCTTTACAAAGATATGGTATCATCAAGG